TCTCTCCTCATACTGCCTGTCTCTCTCTCGCGCTCTCTCTCTCTCTGATCTCTCTCTCTCCTCTGTCCATCTCTGTCCTCTCTCATCGCATCCATCTCCACTCTCTCCTCTCTCCTCGCTCTCTCCTGTGTGTGTGGTGTTGTTGTGTGTGTGTGTGTGTGGTGTGTGTGTGTCTCTCTCTCTACTCTCTCTCGCTCCTCCTCTCATTCCTCTCATCTCTCCTTCTCTCTCTCTCTCTCTCTCTCCTCTTCTCTCTCTCTTCTTCTCTCTCTGTCTCTCTCCTCTCTCTCTCTCTCTCTCTGCTCTCTCCTACGTTGTCTCTCCTCTCCTCTCTCTCTCTCTCTCTCGCTTTCGCTGTCGCGACTCGTCTCTGTCTATCTCTATCTCTCTCTGTCTCCTCCCTCTCTCGGTCTCCTCTCTCTCTGTCCCTCTCTCTCCATCTCATCTCCTCTCTCTCTCATCTCTCTCTCATCTCTCTCTCTCTCTCTCTCATCCTCTCCTCTCTCTCTCTCCTGTCCCTCTCTCTCTCGCTCTCTCTCTCTCTATCCTCGCTCTCTCTCATCTCTCCCTCTGGTCTTCTCTCTCTCTTCTTCTCTCCTCTCTCTCTCTCTCTCTCCTCTCTCTGTCTCGCTCTGTCTCTCTCTCTCTATCCTCCTCCTCTCTCTCTTCTCTCTCTCCTCTCTCCTCTCTCCTGTCTCTCTCATGTCTCTCTCCTCATGCTATCCTCTCTTCCTCATCTCTCTCTCTCTCTCTCTCTCTCCTCTCATCTCTCTCTGTCTCTTCTCTCCTCTCTCCTTCTCTCTGTCTCTCTCTCTCTCTCTCCTCTGTCCTCTCCCCCCCTTCCATCTCTCTTCTCTACTCTACTCTCCGTAACTCTCTCTCTCTCTCTCTCTCCCTCTCTCTCTCTCTCTCTGTCTCATCTCTCTCTCTCTCTCTCTCCTCTACTCCTCTCTCTCCTCTCTCCGCTCTTCAGCTCCTCCTCTCTCTCTCTCGGTCTCTCGCTCTCTCTCTCTCCCTCTCTCTCTCTCTCTCTGTCTCTCTCTCTCTCTCTCTCTCGTCTCTCTCACTCTCTCTCTCACTCCCTCTCTCTCTCTCTCTCTACTCCCCTCTCATCTACCTCTTCTCTCTCTCCGCTCTCTCTCTCTCGCTCTCTCTCTCTCGATCTCTCATCCTCTCTACTATCTCTCTCTCTCCTCTCTCTCTCCTCTCATCTCTCTCTCTCTCTCCTCTTCTTCCCTCTCCCTCATCTCTCCTCATTCTCTCTCTCCTCTCTCTCTCTCTCTCTCTCCCTCTCCATCTCCCTCTCTCTCTCCTCTCTCGCTCTCTCTTCTATCTCTTCTCTCTCTCTCTCTCTCTCTCTCTCTCCAGCGTTCTCCTCTCTCTCTCTCTCTCTCTCCTCTGCTGTCTCTCTCTCCTCTCCTCTGTGATCATTCTCTCGCGCTCAGCTCTCTGTCCCTCTTCTCTCTCTCTCTCTCCTCTCTTCGGCTCTCCTCCTCTTCTACTCTCTCTCTCCTCTCTCGCTCTCTCTCTCTCGCTCTCTGGTCCCTCTCTCTCTCTCTCTCTCTTCTCATCTAATGTCTCTCGCTGTACCCTACTCTCTCTCCTCTGCTCTCTCTCCTCTCTCCTTCTCTCTCTCCTCTCTCTCTCTCTCTCTCTCTTAGCTATCCTCTTTCTCTCTCTATCTCCTCTCCTCTCCGTCTTCTCTCTCTCCTCTCTCTCCGCTCTCTCTCTCTCTCTGTCTCCATGGGTTGGAGGGGTCTCTCTCCCTCTCTCTCCTCTCTCTCTCTCTCTATCTCCTCATCTCCTCTCTCTCTCATCTCGGTGTCTTCTTCTCCTCTATCTACCCTCTCTACTCTCTATCTCGGATCTCTCTCTCTCTCTCTCTCTCCGTCTCT